TAGTACAGCTTGCTCCCCAAACAAGCTACACCATTATTACTTATTTTGATAGCGCCGCGAGGAGCTGCTTGCGTATGCACAAAAGCCACAGAAGAGACAGGCGTCGAAGATAAAACAAGGTTATTGCAGCGCGGCAGACTGACCTGGGCATTTTTCCATCTGAGCAGCAAGAAAGGGGAATAAATAAACGCTGGCACCACGTGCAGCCCCCTTCCTGGGAGGGGAGAGCTCTTTCAGACGAATTCAGCCGTCACTTGGGGTTGTCTTGAAGGAAAAGGATGAATGCGTCGCTTCTATCCGCGGGTGCCAACGCGGATGAATAATTAGGCTGCCGATTTTTTCTTATGGTCTCCGCGGACCCCCGATGTATCCTGGCCGATTTGATTCTGTACGACCCAGAAAGTTATTGTGCATTTTTTTTTTTTTTTTGAGAGTGTTTTTCTGAGCGAGTTGTTCGGAAATAATTCATGCGGTCTTCGGAGCGGCTCAGCAAGTGGTGCAAGGGAAGGACGCAGCATTTCGGGGCTGGGAGTGGGAACTTCAGTGGAATCCCAGTGCTCCCCAGTATGGGAGGGACTGGGGAGAGTCCCCTGAAAGGCCACCAAGATGACGATGAGCCTGGAGCATCCCTGGGACTGCTCAGCCTGGAGGAAAGAAGGCTCTGGTGGGAAATAACCAACGTGTGAGAGGATGCAAAGGCAGATGGATTGTTGTCCAAGAAAAAATTTGGTTTTGGTGCAATTAGTAACAAACTCAAGGGCATGCGTGTCAGATTCTTCCTTACAAAATGGTTTTCTTGATTAAATAGTTTCCTAGTTAATCATCCTTTGGATACCCTCAAGGCCGGGGTCATCCTTGCCTCGGAGTAGGTATTTTGCGTCTTTTCACACAAAATGAAGTTAACAAACCAAAATTAATTAGTTATCGCCATCAAGATCTTCCTGGTGCTATCTGGTGACGGGAAAAGAGGTGTTGTGTGCAGAATGAAATACATGAAATTCTTTAAACATAAGGATTATGTTTAATTTTAATTTAATTTTTTTTTAATTTTAATTGTAAGGGTGATCGGAACAGGTTGTGGAGCTATTCCAAATCCATTGGATGCGGTCCCTGCTGTTGGTGACCCTGCTTTGAGCCAAGGGGCTGTATTTTTCTATAAATAATGCTTTAAAACCAGCTTCTTGAGGTTGAATTCCAACCAAGACATCTTAAATATCACGCAATCCAACCTGGCTTTAGGTCTTTGTCTCATGTTAGTGTTGGATTATGTTATACGTGGGGGTTTTTTGTTTGTTTGCACAACGACAAGGTAAACACAGGGAAAAAAAAGAGAAAAAAAGCATTTAAACGATGACTCTACCTCTGATTTTTTCACAGCCAGGGACTTTCAGCAGAATTTTAACTGAGTTTGCCAAGAGGTAGCATCATACAGATCACTTGCATCGCCTGCTGGAAAGTCACAGGCGTGAGCTGGGAAAACTTTTTGAAGCAAAGCCAGTGCTGTTGAAGGCAGGTGCACAACATCAGGAAAGTATTTGCACATTCTGGGTCCATATAGCTGAATTTTTTAGCGTGTTGTTTCTTTTTTTTTCTGCTTCTCTACCAATTATTCTCCTCTTCTCTTTTCCATTTATTACACCTTTAGGGGATAATTGCCATTTCTTGCTGCCATTAGGCAGCAGGAAACCAAGCTGGGATAGTATAGATTTTTTTGTCACTTAAAGACAGCACTGCATTTTTCATATAAATTATGCGCAAGCTGTAGCGTAGGTGGGAAGGAGGTTGAGCCCTGAAAGAAAAACCCCCGAGACGTGACATGCCTCGGCTCATTCCTTTATGTATTGCTCTAGAAATCAGCCTGACTAGAGCAAAGCCAGCTTTACTGGGAGTTTTGTGGTGTGTCGAGGATTGTTTGGGGTATACCTGGGTGCGTGCATCTCTAAAATGGAGGAGAAAAGGGGTTTGGTGAGGATTTGAGTCCTTAACCTTCTGGATGCTCAGCAGTTTGCTATTAGGACCTGATTTTTTTCAGGTCCGAGATACAGAAGGAAGATGCAAAGACTGAGTTAATAAGCGTGTATTGTTCTGAGCATAATTCTCACCGATTTCCTTTCAGATTTAGCAGAGAAGCTTTTGGAGACAGGGGAATGTGTCCTGAAGGGTGTCAGCCTGGGGCGACACTTCAGAGGCTTCCCGATTTTAGGTGATGCATGCAGATGTGCTATTCCAGGCAGGCAGAAGATGTTATTTCTTATTTTGGGGTCAGCAAACGCTGATTTATTCCATCAAAACTCACCGAACGTCTTGCTGTTGGGTTTCGGGAATCCTCATGTAGGTTTTGCACCTTCAGGACTGGTTTAAAACAACTCCTCTGTTAACTGAGTGATAATGCGTGATTTTTTTTTAATTATTTTTTTGTAATAAATTGGATGTTTGTTGGTAGAGGAAGAGTTCTGGTGGTATTTCAGAAACTGTGCAGAGGATCCTGAGCACTTGCAGCAACATCAACGCCACGAGCTGATTTAGGGCTGCAGCAGGAATTGGGATTAGGAACCATGCCTGACATCCCCCTTCCTTGTCTGGCACTCTGAGTTGGCCTGGAATAAAAAAGAAATAAAAAATAAAATCGCTTTATGTGCTGTAGACCGCAGTTTACCACTCAAAGGCGTTAATATCTATGCAAAATCTCATTAAGGACCGTAAAAAACAGTTTCTTTGCCCTGAATGTATTGACCATTTTCTCACCATACTTAATAGAGGAGGGGGGGAATAAGAATAATAAAATAATGAGAATAAGAGCATAACAATAGGAGAGGATGAAAAAGAATAAGAACAAAAAAATGTTGTAGCATAGTAGGAGGATAATGAGAATATACCAGATGTAATTAAAGTGATCTCCAATTCACAAGATGATTAGCTAATTCTTTTGTCTCAATAGCAGGACTGTTGCAGCATCCTCGTGTCTTCAGTCTGGAAATAATAACGGTGCAAAAGAAAAAACTTTAACTCACCGATTTAATTATGATGCAGCTCATAATGGTGATATGTGGTGATCACTTTTTCTTTTTTTCTTTTTTTTTAATCATGTTTGAGTTGCCCTCGTTGTCCCTGTGCTCGATACAGCAGGTCTATGCCTGGTGGGCCATCGGGGTAAGTCCTGAGTTGCTTCAGTTCAGAGGAGAATAAGGAGTGCAAAATATTTCTGTCTCTGTGACTTAGAGCATAGTGAGCCCAGTGTGGGAGCATTTTCTAAATAAAAGTGAAGGATCTATTATTTTCATCTCTTTTACTCCCATAACACTGAAAACAGCCAGGACAAATCTGAGGCCATCATAAAATCCAGAAGAACCAGGATTTTCTCCTAGCCTGAAGTAGCAGCTAGATTTTTGAAATCTTTGTGCAATTTAGAAATTCAATTCTATTTTCAATAGAAGAGGTTATTATTTCCCCGTGCTGTGCAGCCCCAAACATGAAATCAGATGGCTTTGGGAAACGTTCACTTCAACAGACCAAGGAGCTCGTGCAAAAAATGAACGTTAAATATTGAGCATAACCAGTATTGAGGGGAAGCTCTGTTAGATACTGACCGTAAACCCTATTTTGTATTTTCTGTCGTATTTCTGATTTTCTGTCTTATTTCTGTTTTCTCCTTGTATGCTTGGCTTGCTGCCTTTCTGAGAGAAGAGCTAGGGAAGCGAATCTTTATTTTGATTGAAAAGATCCCCAGTTTACTCTGACTTTCTTAAATCTTTCCTGGGGATCACAAAGGTAGGAAATACCAGTGCAAAGTATTCCTGGATCTGAGTATGGCTTAGGGGAAGGAAATCACCTTTGGTGCAACTTAATTCCTCCATCATCTTTTGCCTTGAAGCTGGAGTATTTCACTCAAGCTGTTATGACCTCTTCATCCGAAATATTTCACTTTCCTTGCTGTCAGTCAACGGATTTGTTTTGGGGTCGGTTTTCTTGCTTTTTAATCCCCCTGATAGAGTGAGTTTCTGGGTCTACAGAGGCATTGAGACAGCATCTATAACCCATCGTGCGAATCCCACCTCAACAGATGGATGGCATCGACCAGATTTTAGCACCAGATGTCAAAATGACACCTATTTCTGGAGGATTAGCCCCAAAAACACGCAGACCTCATCCCGTGGTCATGGGAGCCCTCAGAACAAGCTCTATTCTGTTGAGGGGGGGATTAGAGGGACCTTTCCCCATGGATCTTGGTTTTGGAGATGAACTCATTTGCCAGAAGGTGTTTTGTGTTTTTTGTGTTTGCTTGGCTTGTTCAGAAGCAGGTTGGGAAGTGCTGTGCCCTGCGTGTTTCTTGCCTGCTTAATGAGCTGTGTCTTTGGAGCTGTGAAGCCAAGGTGATTTATTAGGAGCTCCGTAGGTTAGAAAACGATGAGCAAATACGATTTTGGAGCAGCTGCTGGGAGCAAGCAGAAGTTCAGCCTCTCTGCAAGCCATCGAGATACTATGGCATGGTCGTGGTCCAGCTCCTCCATCCTCATCATCACCAAAACCCGCAGCAGCCTGATGGCTTGTATAGATTTAGAGGAGCTGGTCTGAGTTGGGCATCCCAATTCTTCACTTTCTACCTTATTCCTTCCCCAAATCGGTGAATCAAGGGGTGTCAGAGGTGGAGGAGCTGGTCTGCGTCAGGCATCCCAATTCTTCACTTTCTACCTTATTCCTTCCCCAAACCAGCAAACGGGGTGTCACCGACTCTACATTTTTCCTTTCTCATTCATTTTTTTGGGGAAAGGTCTCTCTTCCTTATTGTCTTGCTCTTGGTTTTGCTGCTAAATCTCGGGCTTTAAATTCTGCTGCTGCTCCGCTGTCCCCAGCTTACTGTTCCTCTCTTGCAATTAATTGGCGTCCTTAGCAAGGCAATTAAGCTGTCCATCAGACTTCAGAAAGGCCTCAAGCTGAAATTTCCCCTTGTTCAGATCTGTCAGGAGTTTTGAGACTGACAGTATGTTTTTTTTTTTTTTAAGAGCTTTTTGAAGTTTCTCTGCATTTCCTCACTTCCCCGTGCCTGCGGTTTATGTTGCCATCTAGCTGTTGACTCACGAGAACCCTTCCCGTGTCTGCTAAATGGTGAAATGTGAAAGTCCCACGGCGACTAAAAATATATGCCAGCCGTTCTGCGTCGAGGAGCCGCAAGATGTGGTTTCTGTGGCCAAAAGTAAGTTCCAAAATGTCAATCTTGATGCCTCCAGGGGAAGCATCCCCAGCGGTGGCATCCTGACGCTAATTAACCTTGCAATAAGCTGACGGTGCTGGTAAAACTCAGAACTCAGACATAGGGTGAGGGGCACAAAACCCCAATGCCAAGCTCTAGTGGGTGTTTTTTAGGGTGCAAATTTCCTCTTTTTTATCTCAGGACTTGTTTTGGTGGCCTGAAAAAGATGGAAAAGACTGCTGCAGCCACTGGGTATTGAAAGACCCCCCAGAACCCCATACTGGAGACCCTAAGGGTTGGGATGACGTTTGGAGACCTCTTGCTTTTGAACCACCTCATCGTACAGTTTTTGGTTTATTAATAGTTTTTGGTTTATTAATAGATTCTGGAGCTCTAGATTGTTTGCTAACCAAGCTCACCGAGCAAAATGAACGTTCAGACTCTTTTAATTGGCACCCAGGATTTCCACCACCCCCACCCCATAATGACGAGGCGCAGGAGTTTTTCTTAATGTTGCTGGCACATCTGTATTCCCCTGGAGAAATCTTCATTTCTCCGGCAGCGTAAAGCTAACGAAGTCACTCGTTTTGCATCCAGAATTGACAGTTATATTGGAAATGAGATGAGGCGGCAGGGTCTGTAAATATTGTTATTATTATTATTTTTTTAAAGCCAGATGTAGGTGTTTGGATAGCTTCAAGGGGGAGAGGGAAGGAAGAACTGGGAAAATGGGAAGGACACAGCTGCCTGCTGTGAATAATCCCCAAAATCTGCTGCTTTACAACATCAGGTTCAGCCTTGTCATGCCAAGCCCATGGGGAAGGAGCGGGGATGGGTTCATTTACATGGAATTGCAGTGAAATGAGGAAATTCCCATCTCCAGCCTGGCTGCTGCTGCAGAGCTGCTCGTGAGCAGCCACCTTTGCAGAAACCTGGAGTTTAATTTAATGTAATGGGTTGGTACGGCGTTTTAACTAGGCCAGCACTCCTGGATTTTGGGGATTTGGGTCCGGTTTTGCTGTTGAACAGAATGTACTGCTTCTGCCGAGTACCTGGCAGGAGGCTGAATCTCTGACCAGAGAGCCTCTGACATCTCCCAAATGCTCAATTTGATGCATTCTTGGGGAAAATGAGCTTAATCTGAGAGAAAGTCAATCTCATGCGTTTTGCACAGTCAGGGTATGTATAATTCCTGCGAATGGGAGTGGGACCTATTAACAGCCCAGCATTTGGCACAGGTTTATGAGCACTGGGGTGCATAGCAGGGTAGATCAATATTTAATTTTATTTCCTTGGGCACTTGGGGTGCCTTGTCCTGTATTCTGCGGTGGATGCTTGGGCCTGTTTTATTCTGCACCTTGTAGTTTCGGAGGAAGACCTGGCTTTTTTAGCAATTCTGCCTGGTTTCGAGTCGTGCTTGGGCAAAAATTGTGCAGAAATTGGCTGCCCCCTGCAGCGAGCCACCCTGTTTGGGATCCAACCCCTGTAGTATCCTCACCCCTTGCACTGCTGATAAAGTGCAATTCCCAAAGGGAATGGGACCTCTTAATTTGAGGATGGATGGCCACAATGCTGCACTGCATCCAAAAGGAGAATCCGTCACCTCTAGGACCTCTAACCCCTTAAAGAAAGTGCACCAGGCTCCCAAAAAGCAGCTTTGGTGCTCAACTTGGAGGTCACTTTGGAAGTGGAACAGCTTAAACTGCCCCTTTTCCACCAGGAGATGGGCCCTTTCATATTTCTGAAGATTGTTTCTTCGTATTTTATCTAAAGCTCTAAGGCTTCAGAGCAGCGTTCTCGCATTTAGGCATCCAAACAAATTTAAATAACAATAAAATCTCCTTGAAAAAAAAAAAAAAAAAAAGCAGGCAGCGCTTCTATCCTTAAACTACCATCTCTTTGGTGTCCAGAGATAGCTGGTTCAGAATTAAGTTTGTGTGAAAGAAAACAATCTTCATTTAGAGAAAAAAAAAACAACAACAACAACAAAAAAAAAACAGTTTTTGGAGAACAGGGCACTGACCCGAATAGCAGCTGGAACACATTAAGTGCTTCAATTAGCAAAGGCAATAGCCACTAGAGCCAGGATGAATACAGTCCCCCAGACTGATATTGTACAAAGGTCATCTACACCTAGTTTGTTTTCCATCAAGTCATTAGATTTTGTTATTTTGCATCTTATTATTTGTTTTCTATGCTCACGGCGTTGCTTGGTTTGGCTCTGTAGGTTTTCAGGAAGATATTAGTACATTTTTCAATCCAGAAAATTACGTTAAAACAAACTTTAAACTACTTTAAAAGCAAATCTTGTCCAGTCTATGGTGGTCCAGGCCTGGCAAAGGCACTTTGTCAGCAGGGACACAAAGAAGGTCTTAACTTGTTAAGCATCAACCAGATATGACAATTAATGGGGTTGATTTTTGGATTCGCCCCCCCCTTTAATTTTTTTAATTACATTTCCGAGGGCTTTGTAGGCAAGGGATTTACGTGCTTCTCCTGCACACCCACCAAAACCTGGGAGGGTGCATGCATTAGCAGAAGGTCAGATATTGCAAAGGAATTGAAGCATGAATAATTCAGTTCATTATTAATAGCTTACTCCAGTTTGAGATAATTAATTCACCAGAATGGACTTAATTGTATAGATAGTCATTTTATCCGATGGTAAATTGAAACAATCTCAGTAGTATATTAACCTCTGGAACATCCCGTTAAAAACCTGCAATTCTACAGAATTTGGAGCATCCTGTTGAACATGAATGAAAGAGGCAATATTTATGCATGCCAAATGATCCCGGTCAGATGCAGAACCCGCAGGTCGCAGAGTCCATCCGAGAGTAAAACAGATCTATTTTTAATAGTATTTATGAAGTTACGGACTTCACAGCAAGTTGGGTTAAGGACAAATGAATTTAACAAACCATTTAGTTATCTTTTTTTTTTTTTTTTTTTTCCCTGTCAAAAAGTATTCCCCAACCAGACTCTGCATGCTGCAGTTCGCTGCACTTGGCTTGTTTTATCTTTTCTGACCCCTAGGAAAACGTGTGCTGCTTCAATTCCCCTTCCTTCCAACAGTTAAATAAATCTCAGTGTCTGGGCATTAGTTTTTGGCTTCTAATGCATTTCTCTTTTGCAGAGAGGGTTAGCAGTGGTTCTAGAGAAAGGACGTTGCCTCCAAAAGCCCAGAACATTGAAGGCTAATTCATTTTTTTTTATGAGAAACATGAAAAAGCATAAAGTTTTGAGGTCACCAAGGTTAGGCCAGCATTGGATATGCTTTAATTTCCAACGTCTGCTCAATTAGAGTCATCTGGAGCAGCATAACAAAATTTTACATGAATGTAATAAAAAGGGGCTGGAGTTTTCTGATGATTATCTCACAGCGGTGAGTGGCTTGGATTTCCATAATGCTTTTCATGAGGTGGAACGTCTCATAGTGCTTTGCAAAGCATTTAATCAGCAGCCATGCTGAGGACGGTGTCAGAAATAACAATCCTCTAACTCCATGTCCAACGAGGAGCATTTGGAAATCCTTCGGCTTTCAAAAGCAACTGTCCTGGGTTACGGAAAGGTCAAAAAGCTTGGCCTTCAAGTTCAACTCTTGCATTCCTCAGCCTGCAGAAGAGGAATTTTAATTTTAATTGGGAGGGGAAGGTTGTGATGAGTATGCAGGAGCATAGTCAAGAGACCATGGGTGTTGATGAAGACGACCACCTGCCAGAAATGGGTCAGGCATGGTTGATCCTGTGCAAAAAACGCGACCTTGTCAGTTAGATAAGATATTTATGGTGAAGGGAGAGGATTTACAGGTGCCATGAGAGCCCTACAGCAGCATCCTTAATTACTTGTGGGTTCGACTTAATAAGTAATGGGTATGACCTAACTGCTGTGTGTTGTATGGAGGGGAAAAAGTCTTCCTCTGTGATGTGTGTGCTCCTAAATAACTAAATAATAACGCCTGCAGAGCTGTGCTCCCTTTTGCTTGTCAGGCGCTAGAGAGAAAATAAAGCTTTCTGGTGCTTGCGTGGTATTTGTGCACTGAATGCTTCCAAATAATCTTCCATTTTTAATAATTTGCATACTGTAGAGTCTTGGGGGAGAATGAGAGTGTTTAGACCCTATTCAATATTTATAGCCGTGCTTGCTCTTACTCTGAAAAAAAAAAACCAGCTCATTTTCTTCCTGGATTAGGTAAATTCTTAATGTTGCAGATCATCGTATATCGTATTTTTTTTTTTCTGTACATTGTGTGGGGTTGTTTTGGTGGTGCTGACTACCTGCTCCGATTTAACCGAAGGAAGGTGTTTAAAAGAGATGCCCTTGATGCTTTTCTCCATGCACAACGTGAGAACATCTCGCTGGCTCACCGACAGCCCCCGTCTAGCAGAGGCAGCTCAGGCGTGCTGTAGGTGATGCTAAGCCTGTGGCTGTTTTCGTGAGCTCTTGCGGACACCCTCACCCCAGCCAGCACGGTTAAGCTGGCTGGGCCTGGATATTATCCAGAAAAACCCGTGTGCATCACATTTCAATGCGTACAATTTTTATTTAAGCAGCCCCTTGGGTGTTGTGCCTAGCACAGATGTTGAGGGGCTGAGTTCTGGTTTCTTCTTCCTCTGCATCAGGAAAATGAGACCAACCGGGAGACTGCAGCTGCAAGAAACCTTTGGAAGGGGACAAGTGTCCTTAACCAGCCTCTGAAAACCACAAAAAGCTGAGGTTTAGTGTTGCCTGGAGGCAATTATGCGATAATGCAGATGTTTGAATTAATGGCTTAATTATCTAGCTATCTCGAAACAGCAGTGGATTTTGCCAAGGCACTCTCTTTCTCTGTTCCTACTCACAGGCTCAACCTCAGCTTACAAGAAGGAGAAGGGCATGTTTAAAAACCCAAACCAAACAAAACCATCATATTTGGATACAAACACTCGCAAGCCACGTTCAGCCAGGCTGGCTGAGCACTGATTAAATGTGCGCCGGAGACGTTCAGTGCTTCCTATTTCTAA